AGAGAGAGAGAGAGAGAGAGAGAGAGAGAGAGAGAGAGAGAGAGAGAGAGAGTGTCTGCTGGCCGGGTAACATGATAATATATGCCTAAAGTTAAGAATTCTAAAAATGCCAGAGTAGTGGCTCATGCCTATAACCCAAGCATTTGGAAGACTGGGGGGCAAGAGGATTGCCTCAAGTTCTAAGCCAGCCTGGGCCAGAGTGAGACCCTAACTCAACAAACAAAAACAGCAATAATAAAAAAAAAATTCTAATAGTAATAGTTCCCTACATCTAATCTCCAAGCCCCCAGGTCTCTGGAGGTAACCATGAAATGATATATGCAAAGACTATCTTCATTCAACAAACAGAACTTTACTGTATACCAGTGCGGGTGCTTTGGAGAAACAGGAACCGATTCCTACCTGTGGAGCCTGTATTCTCCTGGGCGGGAAACCCCATCACTGTAGTTAAGTATACAGACATTATTTGGTGATGGAGAAACAGGAAAACGATCTGGAGGTGAATATAAGCCAAGACACGTAGGATAAGTTAGAGCTTGAGCTTTGGATTTGATTTTTGAGTCAGGCTCTCACTCTGTAATCCTAGCTGCCCTCAAACTTGTGGCAATCCTCCTGCCTCAGCCTCCCCAGTCCTGGGATTAGAAGGATAAGCCACCATATCTGCTCAGGACCCCTCTAAACACCTGAAACATGCAGGTCAGAACTGCCGCCTGGTTCCTTCTGAGCCTTCCCTCTCCAGGTCTGACTCACGCGGGCTGAGAGTCCACCTTCCCACTGACCGGGGGCTCTCCTTCCTCTAGAGTGCATCCTGCCTGGCCAGCTCCTACCCTCCCTAACTCAGCCCTGGCCCGCTGCCTCCTTTTCCTCTAAGTCCTGCTCAATTTAAGCTGGGCAGTGCCTAGAAGTGGACCCCCCGAGTCTGAGGTCTGAACACCAAGGCTTTTGCCAGAGGAGAGGATGCTTGGCAGGCTCCTAGGGCAGTGGTGGACGCAGGAGCAGAGGCCACGGCTGTGCGCTCTGGTGGGACAGGGAGTGGGGAGCTGGTGGAAGGGAAGGACTAAAGACTGAGAGGCCCAAGGAGAGCAGCAGCTGGAAAGGCCTTAGTGGAGACACGTCACAGTCCGGACACACTTTGTAGAGTAGATGATGCTCTGTCTCTTCTCACAAACATCTACTTCAAGCTGGGTGTGGCAGTTCATGTTTACAATTCAGTACCTGGGAGGTGAAACCAAGAGGATTACCTCCAATTTGGGGCTAACCTGGGCTACATAGTAAATTCAAAACCAGCCTGGGCTAAAGAGTGAACAACCCTGTCTCAAACAAAACAAAATAATTGTTTTTGTTTGTTTCTTGGTTTTACGAGACAGTGTTTCTCTGGGTGGCCCTGGCTACCTGAAACTTACTCTATAGACCAGGCTGTCCTTGAACTCACAGAGATCCACCTGCCTCTGCTTCCTGAGTGCTGAGATTGAAGGCATATGCACTATCACTGCCTGGCTGACAAGAAAAAAAAAATTTAAACTAAAACTCAATATGTAGCTTTGTCCAGCCTGGAACTATGTAGACGAGGCTAGCCTCATAGAAATCTGCCAGTCTTTGCTTCCCAAGTGCCTGGCTCAAGTATTTTTTTTTGTTTTGTTTTTCGAGACAGGGTTTCTCTGTGTAGCTTTGCGCCTTTCCTGGAACTCACTTTGGAGACCAGGCTGGCCTCGAACTCACAGAGATCCTCCTGCCTCTGCCTCCCGAGTGCTGGGATTAAAGGCGTGCGCCACCACCGCCCGGCTTCAAGTATTTTTTTTTAAAGTATACTTTAAAAAATAAAGTATGCTTTAGGGATGAGAAAATGGCTGAGTGGATAAAGGTGCTTGCTGTCAAGCCTGGTAAATTCAGTCCCCAGGACTCACAGGATGGAAGGAGAGGATCAACCCCCGCAGACTGTCCTCTGACCTCCATACTTGTGTGTCTGTATGCTCAGAGCAAAGGTACACCAAAAACGTAGGCGGGCTTGGGTGTGATGAAACCCTATCCCAGAACTGAACGACAAACATACACAGAGCAAAAGCAGGCAGGAGAACGGTAGAGATAATACCACATTAATTCGAATAAACAGGCCCAAAGAGGTGAAGTGATTCCTCCCCAGGTCAGAAGGACAATGCTCTTTAATAGAACAAGCATTCAGTGAACCCAGATTTCCAGATCTCAGCTTTAGGGCTGGCCAGGCTGGTAGCCCACGCTCTTTTCCCCTAGCCATTTCGGAGGCTGACTCTGGAGCCTACTGTTTGATCCTAGCAGTTGGAGAACAGCATGGACAATATAGTAATACTCTTGTCTAAACAATACAAAAAGAAGAAAAGACAGTCAAAACCAGAGTTCCTCATTAATCTGCCTTCCTCTTCTGATAGAAATGGTTAAGTTGCCCTGGGAGGCAAAGCCATGCAAGTGTGGAGGCATCTCTCTTACCCCCCCACTTTCCCATCAAAGCTCTAGGCTCACAGTGTCCTTTGCACCTTGGATGAACTTAAGGTCCCGTCCAAATACCTTTTGTTTAACCCATCCAGACAAGAATAGTTTTCCTGACCAACAACGTCCCCATTCTTCTAGAAGGGAAAAGGAAATGTAACAACTTCTTCCAATGCGCTCTCAAAAAGAGCTGCTCAGGTCTTGAACACTCAAACTATTGCTTCAGGAGCTCATGCCAGGGATAGGGTGGGCAGAGCAGCAAGACACCAAGACAGAAAGGGGAGTTACTGCTTACCCCTGGGCTCCTTGGGGACCCTCTAGCAGCCATAAGGGGTAAGGAAATAGTTGGGGTTGAAATGGAACAGACCAACAAGCTAGAAGCGACCTTCAAGTATCACGGCGAGAGAGAAAAGCTCTGCTATAGATTACATCCCATTTGCAACCTTGGGTAGAGTGGGAGAGACAGAGGTGGGGGCGGGACACACAGAGGTAAGAAAGGGATCACAATAAAATGAGTTTGAGGGCTGGGGGGCCGGTCCCACATTTTTCACAGCAGACCAAGCGACACCTGGCGAGAGGAGGCTGGCAAACACCCCTACCTCTCATTTGCATTTCGTTTACATATGAGTTATTTCTCCATTCGTATTCAGAAACCTTCTGGCCCCTTTTCTAGGTGGCTCTCAGACTCCACAGTCTTTTTCCGTCCTGCTGAAGTTTATCCATTAGCATCTGTAGCCATCCTCAGCTCCTTATCCACCCTGCCTGGCTTTCGGGACTGCTACCCTACACCCCTAGCTGGCTGGGATTTAGGAGCCTAGCGCCCCCTGGTGGCGAGTAGGAAGCAGGCCGCGCGCAGAGGGGTTCTGTTTTGCCTGCTCTGGGACGTGGAGTTTTGGAAAACGTTCCCCGGAGCTTCCTGAAGCTAAATTTACCTCCCCCAGCCCTGGGGGGCGCAGAGATCCCAGGGGCGATTAGCACAGCGCTGCTGCGGGCTCCAGCCGAGAGGCCCAGAATAGGCACGCAGTTATAAATAGTGCTACCCGCAGGTGTGGGGGGAGTCGGCAGGAGGGAGCACCCCCGGCAGCCACCGCCTCTTCAGGTGGGTTGGGCGGTCGCGGTAGGGGTTCTGGGGGGCGGCGGCAGGGGGGGCTGCGGTCTGAGCGCCCCCAGCGGTTTCCTGGGCGGCGGGTTTTTCGAGGGAAGCGGAGGCAGCCGCGGGAAGGGGCGGGGGAGCAGAGACTTAGGTGGGCGCCTGGTGCAAGCGGAGAAGCCGCTTTCAGCTCAGCACCCCCCAACCAGAAACGGGCCCCCAGACTCACTTTAGGACCCCTGCCAAGGAGAGCCTCGCCTCCAGCCGCCAACTGCACTCTTCCTCCAGGACTCTAATAAGCCTTGTCCCCTCTCAGGAGCCACTTCTCCAGTGTACTTGGACCAGCCAGGCTCAGAGTCCCTGTCCCCAGCCTGGGGTGTAAAGTCCTTCTTGCGAGGGCTATTATCCTTCTCTGGACTAACGCCTTCCTCTCGGGGTGTTTGCTCACCTACTTTCCTCCTACATTAAAGTCTGGAATCTAGAAAGTTGCCTGAAGATTTAAGTCTGAGAGTGAGGACGGGGGAGGGGAGGGCGCTCACCCGGAACCCCCTGCGGACCCCACACTGGCCTTCCAGTTCCCAGTACCAGTTCAGGTGGACAGCAGATTGGCATGGGGGGGCGCCAGGCTCCCTAGAAGGGGGCGGGGTCCCACCATTGCTCCTTGGCCATCTCTGTCTCTGGTTTGGCAGTCAGGGGCCAGAGTTAGGGAGTAGGCAGGAATTTCAAGTCGGTGCCCCCCTAACATGAAAGGGAACTATTTGTGCCACAAGAAAAGCATGGAAAAGAGTCACTGAGGAACTAACAGTAGATTTCCAGGACTGCTGGAGGATGGCAAAATCCAGGCGCAAAAGATCCGGGTTGTGTCCAGTCAGATGCAACTCCAGGGGCAGGGGACAGCAGAGCTGTCCGCGTCTGGGTCCTCAGGAGCTAAGTGACAAGACTCTCGTCCTTCTGGAGTCCTGGACCACTGTCCTACCCTCCCCCAAATCCTTTCCCTGGCCCTGTACCCTTCTCCTGAAAACAGCTTGCTCTCCATTTAACTTGGGCATCTCCACTGCCGCCTTGCCCCTGGCATGGCCCATTCCCTCCCTGCTCAGCGAGACCCTGACAGCGAGGAAGGGAAAAAACCCAGCCCAGGCACATCTTGCTCGGAATCCTCCCGACTGGAAACAGTCCGGTGGGGCTGCTAAGAAAACCTGGAGCAAAGATCAGACTTGACCCTGGCGGGGGGGGGGGGGGGGGACAGGACAGAAACTATAGGAAAACCCGGAACGGATCACTTGAGCCAGAGCTAACCATGCCGACTGCTATCCACTGGTCCCTATTGCCCCCCTAATTCTCCAGTGAGATAATGTCTGGGATGGGGGGCTGTTTGGTTTGGCCTCAGCCCTCCGGGGCGCCTCACACTTTCCGCCCCTGGCCGAGGGGCAGAGCAGCGGCCTCGAGGCTGAGTCACGTCAAAGGGAGAAGGAGCAAGAGGGAGGGAAGGACCGACTCCGCCCCTCCCCCTGCTCGGGGATCCCGGGTCAGCCCGGGTGAGGGCCAGGGCCCCCTGGCGCCGCCCATTGTGGTCCAACAGGTTGAGCTGGTGTCCTGCGGAGCCACCTGCTGGAAAGGGAGGGAGGGAGGGAGGCCCCCTGCGCAGGGGGCTGGGAAGGGAGGACAAGTCCGACCCGGTTCGGCCTGGCCGGCTGCTGCGAAGCCGAACCTGGCCCGGGAGAGCGGGGTTTGATTCCGTTTGAAACCAGTAGGAGGGGCCCTTTGGGGGTACGTAGCCCCGCCGGCCCCGTGGGAAGCGTCCCTCCGAAGCTACCTTTCTCGGTTGGCTGGGCACTGAAAGACGAACGCAGGTCCTTCCCAAAGACACACAAGCAGACATCCTAAGCCAGCCAGGCCTCTGCCGCCACCTGGGTGTCTGGGTGAGACTGCGTCAAGACGTCCCTTCCTTCCACCGTGGGGGTCTCCGTTTCTCCACTAAAGGAGCAGGCCGGAGGAGGGCAAAGAGCCGGAGCCCCAGAGGGCGCGCACCTCCCCCTTCCCCTTCCCAGACTCGGTCCCTCCCCGCTGAAAATGCCAAGGCAGCAACGGGCACTGGCGAGAGCGCAGAGGCTCCTTGCCCCGGGCACTGTTCCCTCCCCGCGGGGCGCCGTCACGCGTGGGGAGGGACACAGAGTGCCGGCAGCCTCGACTCCCCCGCTGCCTCGGAGGGGGGATGGGCCCGGGGCCCGCAGCTGAGTGTCTGGTGGCCTTCTCCCCTGCCCTCCTGGGGATCTGACCTGATTAAAGCCCCTAGCGGGACCCCACTCCTTTTCGATTCTAGGTCTTCATGCCACGCAGCCTACCCGTAACCTCTCCTACCCTTCCCTCCCCAGGTGCCGGCCCCACAGAAGCCCCTCTGGAAGGAGAGGAAGTCCCCGAGGGGGCTGCTCCATTCCCTGGCCACTGCGGACACTGTCCCCGGCCTCCCTCCCCTCCTGGTTTCAGGCCAGCCCCAAGCTCCACCCACTCCCTGGATGAACCCTAGGCGCGTCCCAAATGGGATAGGCGGGTGTTCAGGCCAATGGGCGGGCAGGGCGGTGGCGTGCGGGGGGTGGAGCTGGACAGCAGCAGAGGGCTGGACGGGGGTCAGAGGCGGAGCTCCAGTTAAGGTGGACTGGAGGAGATTAGTGGTAGACAGCAGAGAGGGAGAGGGATCGCGGCAGGTGAAGGGAAGAGAGAAGGAAAGAAGGGGAAGGGGAAGGGTGGGAAAGGCTCTAGGAGCGAAGTAAGAGCTCGGAGGAAGGGGGCGAAAGGAGGGAGGGACCCATATGCTCCCTGCTGGAACTAGCTGTTGGAAGAGGTGGAAGTTTATGTCCTTATTGGGCGGAGGGAGGGGGTGCCTGGGGGGGGCGGATGAAAAACCAGGAAGTGACAGAGGGTGTTGGCAGGGGCGGGGGGAGGGAGGGGAGGGATGGGGGGAAAGCAAGCGGGAGGACAGGTGAGACATTAGGACAGGTGAGGCGGGCCCTGGGGGGGGCGGGTGGGAGCCAGGTGAATGTACGGCTCTCCGCGGCCAAGGGGGGGCGGGCAGCAGGAGGAGGCAAAGGGTGGCGGAGGAGGAGCCCCCCAGCAACGAGCGGCGAGCCACTGACCGCGGCCTTCTGACCAGGACCGGAGCAGGGCCCCAAGCCCCCGGGCCTGGCGGGGGACGCGCTTCTTCCCACACCCTGTGCCTCTGCAGCTCCAGAGAGCGGACCCGACGGCTGAGAGGTAAGTGAACCCCACTTTCTTGTCCCTTGGCTCGGGGTCCACTAGACTCGAGCCTACTGCAGTGTCCTTCGTGCGTCCTGTGAGACCCCTGTACACACACACACACACACACACACACACGCAAACCAGATTTCAACCAGTCGCCTTCCCTGTAGCTTCCCTGGGTCTTTAGGATTGGTTTTAACTTGGAGGAAAGGTAGAGAACTACAGCCTCCCCCCAACTCTGGGCGGAGGGTCTCCAGAAACTTTCTTTGCACTTCTAATATCAGACTGAGCTACGGGATGGAGACGGGGTGAGCTGAGCTGAACTTCCCCCCCCCCAGTCGCCTTCGTGACTTTAGGGGGAAGACCCCAACCCGACCGAATGGAGGGAATGGAAACGCTGACGGACTCTAACTAGGACAACGCGTGTCCCCCCCCCCTGCCCCCCCTGCTCCGCGCCCCCCTGGCGCGGTGGGCTGGACCCAGGCCAGTGGCATGGGGGCTGGGGGGCGGCGGGAGGAACCGCGGCTTGGGGGAAAGTTACCGGCTGGACTATTCGGTTTCTTGCGCTTCCCGAGCCGCGTCGTCTCTCCTGCGGTAGTGCGGCTCAGCGGAACGACCCCTCCTGCCCCTCCCGCTCCGCAATCACATTCCCTTCTCTCGAGCTGCAGCCCCACCGCCACCCTTTCCAAGTCAGCTTTTGCTCTCACAACTCCGGTGCGAGGGTGGGTGCTAAGAACTCGACCTACCACCACCAACCAGTCTTGCCGCCGGCGCCGGCGCACCTGCCCTAGCCGGAGCGGGGGTCGCGGCGGTGTGGCCGAAACCTTAGTGCGCGCCGCTGGCAGAGGGTGGCCATTCAAAGGGGTGGGGGGCGCCGCTTTCCATTCCCAGCTTTCTCTCCCCTCCTCCCACCCCACCCAAGTAAGAGAGCGACGTGTCCTGGCCAGAGCGAGGGGGGGTGGGAGTGGGGGGGGCAGCGTGGGCAGCGGGTTGTGCCCGGACACGTGCCTGCCCAGGCGCCCCGGCCCTGCTAGTGTTTGGAGAGAGGGCGGGTCCCCTGCCCCCCGCCCCGCACAACCCCCATGTATCAAAGGGCGGCTGAGACGTGGTGAGACCTCGGGGCGCCCTGGGGGGCGGGGGGTAAGGCGGGGAGCCTGGGTCCGGAGCAGGGGAGGGGCAGAGGCGCCGGTGCTGGCTGACCCACAGGAAACGAGCACTGCTGACCTAGTTTGGGACACCGGAAGTGGGTGCTGGGGAGAGGGGGAGACCGGCAAGCTGTCCTGGCTTCCGGGCCAGGTGGAGGGCGTTCTTGAATTGACCCCCGCCCGAATGCCTTGGAGACCCCTAGCTGCTGCTGAGAATGGGAATGAGTCAGCGCGGCTATTGCTCCTTCCCCCAACTTATTCCTAGAGGAGGGGACCGTTTATCAAGGGTTGGGGGAGCCAGATTGGGAAGTGAGGAGTTAAGCCAAGATAGGAACTCTGTGTTCCCCAAGGGAGTGTGTGTGTGTTTTGGGGGAGCGCTAAGGCCTGGAGGTTATGGGGTTGCGTTTTGCTACCCCACACACGCCAACTGGTTTGGTCACCCCTGTACCCTCCTGGCACTGTTTATAGAGCTGGCATGGAGTGGACATTAGATTGGGAGGAGATACTGGGCATAAGGAGTATTGTGCTGGGCTGGAGAAGGGCATATTTGTGACTGGGCTTGGATGGTAGTTAGAGTTCCTCCTTAGTGGTAACTGGGGAGAAGGACAGGGGGCTCCCCCTGGAGCAGCTGATGAAACAAGGAGAAATCTCTGCCTGTGCCTCCTGTCCCTGGCCCCCGGGACCCCAGCTCCCCCAGAGTGCCTCTGTTACATGGTTGCCGTCGGCACGCTGCTGCTGCTGCTGCTGCCTGCCTGCTGACACCCCCAGACACTGTCCCCTCCCTTGGGGACCACCCCCCCCCCAGCCTGGGGGGTCAGGAAGGGGTTAATACCACCAGAAAGGGGCTCAAGGGAAGAGAGAAGGCAGTGCCCACTAGGCTCAGGTGTCAAGGAGATGGCCCTGCTCTAATGGGGCCCTCGCCCGCCGCACGCACTCCTCAGCCCAGGTGATATGGCCCCTGTGTCTGAGAGACAGGTGCTGCCCTCTTCCCCTTCCCCATGGTGCCCCCTGGCACCCACCGCCCCCAGCTCCTCCTTGGCCTAGTGCCTGCCCCAGGAGGGTGCGGCGGGCAGCGGGGGCTGGGCTAACAATGCACCATCGGGCCCTTTGTGTGCTTGCACTTGGCACCCTGGGGAAGAGTGGGGGAGGGGACCCAGCAGCCAAGGGGGGGGTGGAGCACCTCTGGGGTGGGGACAGTGAAGGCTTGGGGAGAGAAGCAGAGAGTGAAAACAGGTGGGGAGGAAAGGGAAGTGGGTCAGATAGAGGGCTGGCCCCCCATTCCAAGCCAAGGCTAAGATGAATGGGATCGTGAATGGCATCACGTTAGCACCTGAAGCCCGGCCCAGGAGTGGACGTTTGGGGTCAGAAGTTACTGGCCCAGGAGACTGCTCAGGTGGAGGAGGCAAGGCCCTCTCTTAGATGGCTGAGAGACCCAGTTCTTTTGGCCGAAGGCCAAGGACCTAAGATGGGGAGTTAAATGGTCTCCAGGCAGGGCAGTGCCCTCTGATAGGAGCCTCTGGGCCTGCTTCAGGGCTTCCTGCCTCCAGCCTGCTTGGCTCTCTGACCTTCCTGAGTTAAGACAGCCCTGCCACCAGGCCTTGGGGCTTGTGCCTGTTTTGGCCTAGGGCTGAAAAGGAGGGTGAGGGAGGAAGGTGGAGACAGGCAGATGGATAGGACCCTGGCATGGGGTGTGCCTGCTCTGGCCTCTCCCCCTCCTGCTGAGTAAACTCGTGAGTAAACTTGACGTTTTGCCCGGACAGTTTGAAGTTGCCTCGCTGCCCCCCCTCCAGTCCTGCCAACACAGAAGCGGCCAGGTGCCAGGGCAGGCCGGGGGACGTGGAGGAAGGGGCGTAGGATGACTCTGATCCACCGTCAAGGACTGGAGGGTCCAGGAAGACCCCACTACCACCACCCCTTAGCCAAGTTCAGGTCCTGGCAGTAATCTTATGGCCTGTCAGCATTTGTCACGGAACTTTGGGAAACCCAGAAAAAAAAGTTATCCTCCACGCAGTTCTTTTGCCCATCCCTGATCTCCATCTCTACCGGGGAAGACACCCAGTTGCCCTCTGGTCCCTGAGAGGCCATCTTTTATGTCCACAGGCCACTGGTCCAGGAGGAAATCTACCTGTAGCACATGCCTCAGTGAGGCCAGGGGAGGCTTCCCTCTTTTGGTGCACGGCCTGAGATAGGTGGGAGGCAGGTGGCACAGGGACCCGTTACCTCTCTCTTTCCTGAGGCTTCTGCCTGCTGTGGCCTCTGCCCTGCCCTTACCCGGCCGGACTTCACACCTGGACCTAATACCACAGCTGCCTTCACTGCTCACCATCAGACCCTTCCTTACCCCAACTCTTCCTCTGCCTCTTTGCTCTCCTAGAACCTTTAGGGGTTCCTAACCAACGAATACCTAGACCACATCCAGAGT